TTGCCATGCGGACTGGAGCGTCGCCTCGAGGGAGATTTCCTCCCGCTTCGCAGCCTGTTTGAGGGAGGCTGGCGACAGTCGTTGGTGCTCCTGCTGCTGCTACTGGTGTTGCTGGCGCGGGTGTTGCTGTGCTGATGCTGCAGCTACCGAGGTGATTGGTTGGTGCTGCTGCTGGTGATGCTGCTGGTGTTGCTGCTGGTGTTGCTGCTGGTTCAGGTGCTGCGGCGACGATGTTGCTGTGTTGATGCTGCTGTTGGTGATGCTGGTGGTGGTGGTGGTGGTGCTGCTGCTGCTGCTGCTGCTGCTCGTGTTGCTGCTGTTGCTGCTGTTGCCACGCAGGACTTGCCGTGCAGATGTTGTTGCTGGTGCTGTTGCTGGGGTTGTTACATATGTTGTTGCTGATGATGGTGTCGTTGCTGGTGTCGTTGTTATGCTTGTGCTGCTGCTGATGCTGTTGCTGGGGTTGTTGCGTGTGCTGATGCCGGTGATGGTGTCGTCACTTGTGTTGTTAATCTGCTGGTGTTGCTGCTGTTTGTGCTGCTGCTGCAGCTGCGGCTGCTGCTGGCGTTGCCATACAGGTGTCGCTGCGCTATCGTTGCTTCTGCTGCAGCTGCGGTTGCTCTGCAGGTGGCGTGACGAATCTGCTGCTGCTTGTGTTTCTGGTGCTGGCGTTGTGGTGCTGCTGTTGCTGATGATGCTGGTGGCGTTGCCGCTGCTGGTGTTGCTGCTGCTGCTGGTGTTGCGGGCGCTCGTGGGTTCTGCTGCTGCTGCTGCTGCTGTTGTTTCTTGGCTTGTGATTGAAACGTTTTCCTGGTCTGTCTTGGGGAGGTTTTCCAGAATTCGCCTTGGAAGGTTTTCTGGTTTCACCCTGGGAGGAGTTCTTGGCTTCGCTCTTCGGCGGATTCTTTGGTTTCGCCCCAGATCGAATTTTCGTTTCGAGGTCTTCGGTGTGAATTCGAGGTTTCTCATCGTTTCGGATTCCAGCTATTCCCCCTAACAATTCCGGGGGTCACCCCTCGACTGCGGTGCACGCTGCACTCCGCGGGTAGATTGGGGGGCCCCAGACAGCACTTTGTATTCTACCACGCGTCAACGAGCCAGTTGGCACGGTGGCTTATAAGATGGGAAAGTGCGAACCAGTACACTGGAGGGGCACGCCAGGAATCCAGAAATCGAACCTGGGAACCCCGAAAACGAGTCGGCAACGAATCAGGGAATCCCGAACATGTACTGGGAAATGTCCCTGTCTTGCTTCTGCTTTTGCTTGCTCACCCGAGCACGAGTTCCTACGCTCGCTTGCGGGACTTCATGCTGTGATTCCAGAATGTCCTGGTTGGCCCCACCGATTTTCTGCTTCGCCCTCTGCCCTGAAACGCACCCGTGGGGGCTGGGCTGCGATCTAGTAGAGAGCAACAATTCATGGACACTGCCCCTACCCCCAAATTGAAAGTTGGCACAGTTGGCACGCGCGGGGAAGACTGCGGTCGAAGTGCAACTCTTCACAGCCACCGCCAACTCTATTCATTGTGGAATAGGGGGGGGGATTCATAGATGTATCTTGCATGAGTCTTGACCTTGTCTTCATCTGCGGCAGCTCTTCGTCCTGGAGTCGGGATCGAGGAAGACCCGCCCGGACTGCACCCGCAACGACGTCGTCGGCGCGCGCAAGTACAGGGGTCAGCGCCAACGGGGGTCAGCCAATCCCCTCTTCTCCCCTCTCGGCGGCGAGCGACGTGGGGAAGTGAGAAGGAGCAGGCCTTTTCAGAAGGCGTCCGGCCTTTGCAGAGGCTGTCTGTGTCTTCGGGGACAGCTTCGACCACATCTCAGAAGGCCAGGGGAGTTCCGAGCCTTCTGAGAAGGCCCGCCCCTGCTCACTTCCCCCGTGGGCCCGCCGCCGCCCCTCTGGCCTACTCTGGCGCCCTCTGGCCCCTTCTGGCCGACCAGGGCTTCGGAGATCCACGTGTGCGGCGCAGGAACGGGGTCGAAGGCGCCGACATTCGCGCGTGAGCTGCTGCGCAAGATGGCGCGTAAGCGCCGCAGTTTTCAACGTAACGTGCCGCGCTGACGGCCCGCGTAAGCCACTGCGTAGGGTCGCCATGCCATCGTGCACGGGACCCGTCTTTTTCCATCGCTCGTGTGAAGGCGATCCCCCGCCGACCCTTCCCCCCCCCGCTGACCTGGGCCCGGGACCCACTTCGTGGTCCCAGCCTGGATTCAGGAAGGAGGAGGAGGAGGAGGAGGAGGAGGAGGAGGAGGAGGAGGAGGAGGAGGAGGAGGAGGAGGAGGAGGAGGAGGAGGAGGAGGAGGAGGAGGGAGGAGGAGGAGGAGGAGGAGGAGGAGGAGGAGGAGGAGCAGGAGGCCACGTGGCCCTGGCCGGCCTGGGCTGGCGCCGACCGAGCGTCGGGTGAAACCCGGGGGCCCCGCCGCGAGGGAGTCGGCCGTCGGCCTTTATTCCCAGCCGCTCGTCTACAGCAGCAACGTGCCCGCCGTGGCCGTGCACGCCGCTCCGCCCAGCCCGCCAGTGTTGATTGTTGATTGTTCTGTTTGTTTCGTTTTCGTGGTCGTGGTCTTTTCATTGTACCTCTCGCTGTCTGTCTGTCTCTCTCTCTTTCTCTCTGATTCTCTCTTTCTCTCTCTTTCAGCCTCTCTCTCTCTCTCTCTTCCCCCCTCTCTCTCTCTTCCCTCTCTCTCTCTCTCTTTCTCTCCCTCCCTCTCCCTTTCGGCTCGAGGGTCCCGGGCGCAGTGCGCAGCCGCGACGCCAAACGCCTCACAACTTATTCTGGCCTCGCGAGACCGGACGAATCCCTTCAGTTCCGCGCGCGCGCCATGGGTCCGAAAGGCCCGCCCCCTGCACCACGGCAGCCCGCAGGTAACGGCCACCAGAAAACTACCGCAAAACATCTACAGGATCTTAACCTCAGTCGGAAGGAACCTGCGTCGCCGCCCTCCAGAGCAGTGGTGGCGTCGACCGAGCAGTCGTTGCAGACAAACTCGCTCAGAAACATCACGCCGATTTCGATTTTATTTGCCAGCGACGTTGCTCCGACCGACGCAGATCTCATAGCGAAAAGTATGATCAGCTACGCCATGGTGCATTCTTCCCTCATGCACACCAAGGCCTCAGCACTGACTCCACCAACACTGGGAGTCGCGGTCGACGCCGATGCCCACCAGGGCAGAGGCAGGACCCTTTGTCATGAGCCCCGATGTGCAAAACTGGGACGTTCCAGTTGCCACCTCGCCTGCGAGAGGGCGACGGGACGTCGTGCACCAACAGCATCTCATTCTGCACGGTAGAGGACGGCGATCGCTTACTACAGCATATTCACACACAAGATGGCCTCCTTAACGCTTGTCACCCTGGGACCCACTGGCGCCGACTGCCCAGGAGCACAGGTCTAAATTCCAGTGCCCCGCCGCACGGTCACGACTGCCAAGTCTACGCCAGGACACATCCAAGTGACCATCTGCCAGTTAGAACGGGAAGAGGTAGAGTGGCTCCAGAACGTCGTCCAATTCACCATTGGCCCAGCGGGCAATGTCGTTTGGATTCGTGTCGTTATCTGCGAGGCAGACGCCGTAAGGCCACACCCGTATTCGAAGAACTGTTCCCGGCTCAGTCATCAGGAGCTGCGCTCAGCAACGGCAGCCGGCACCCAGGCGGAGCAGGCACGGCACACCAAAAAGGCCAGACAACGCCGCGAACCAGCCAAACGGGACGTCGCGCACAAACGGCTGGGCGACGACCCTACGGAGGCGTTCACAGCCGCGCTCGCGTCCCATTTCCGTATTGTACAAGTACAAGAAGCCATGGAGCTCCTATGTCGCCACGGCACGGCATCCGAACCCACGGCTACTGGGGATCAAACCAGCAGACGTGCCCATGGTTCTCGCCGCCCCAGGGCAAGGAGGCATTCAGCTCGACATCAGCTACCATAACACTTAGGCGATGTACCCAGATGGCAGCCGAGTCTCGCCTCAGCAAGCACGCGAAACTTCCGCCAAACACGAAGCGCACGGGGCTGGTCGCTCGGACAAAACAGTGGCTTCATCGTCGAACGCCACACCGAGGGGGCGAAGGAAATCGCATGGAACCGTCGGGAACTGACGCCGCACTCGCCAACTCCAGGTGCCGATCGCAGGCGTCGAGCCACAGAGCGCCATCAGTGCGCAAATCGCCGAGGTGAGAGCATCCATCGCGTGGAATTGCGAACGGGATGTGGCATTTCGCCGCTGTCAAGGCGGCCACCCCGCCGCCGGGCGCTGCGGTCACGTCTGCGGCTTCACCGTCCCCCGGGCCAAAGTCGACGTCGAGGTGCGTGCTCCTGCCAGAGCTGATTTTGCCGAGGCAGCGGCGGCTGCGACTGTTTCGCCGGAGACAACTGCTATTGACAAGCCCGTGGTGGGATCGCCCGCGGGGGGGCAGGGCCAAACGCTCCCTCGTCCCTGCTGGACAGGGCGGTCGCAGGATCGCGCCTCCAAGCGCCGCAGAAACCGCCGCCGTGTCCAGAGACGCCACTGGCGTCGAGCGCCCCGTCGCCGGGGGGAACTTGGCGCGGCAGCGCGCTGGTTTCTCGCGAGCGAGGCAGGGGCGCCGAGGAGGGGCCCGTCGCGTGCATCGACGACGGCGGGCGGCGTCGATCGAGTTGCAGGCGCCGGCGCTCCGCCTATGTCCGCCAGCGAGCGGCGCGCGGCAACGTGCCACCGCGAATCCTCTGACGCGGAGTGGATGCCGCGACCTGGTGTCCAAGGTATCACCGACCAAGCAAGCGCGAGGTTCGCAGCGTTGGGGGCCGACCAGCAGCGGCTAGCCGAAACCGTCGAGCGACTCGAAACAATCGCCGCCATCGTAGCCGCTAGTCAGGCCACCGTCGCGCGGCAATGCCATCAGCCCGCGCGAGGGATCTACGTGATCCAATCCGAGCAAGTCAGCGTGAACGCAGACCAGCGCGCCCGCACGGGCCGAACGGCGCCTCTCGTCTGGCGCGCCCAGGCCCAACAGATACAGGCTGTCCAGAAAAATTGGCCCTGTGCCGACCCCCAGTGGACTCGCCCAGCGCGGCCAGTTCTGCTCGCGCCTTCCGGGGCCATGGGGCAGGAGGCAGCGGCTGGGGGCCCGGGCGAGCAGGCGCCCCGCGCCCCATGCCCGCGCCGCTGCCGGGGTCGCAATGCAGGGGCCTCGATGGCCCCCCCTCGCCCCAGCAGGAAATTTCGCCGAGGGATTCGGAATCTGCGTCGGTAGGCGCAGTGGCAGGGGTCTCGGGAGGAAATGTTGTTTCCTGTTCCCTGGTGAGATGGTTGGTTCCCTGGTGAAATGGGTGTTTCCCCAATGGAAATCGGAAAAAACTCACTCGTGAAATTTCCCCAGCGTGAGGTGTTCTATACTTGCTCCTACTATGTTTTGCGAGGCTCCTGCGAAGCCTCTGCGAGGCTCCTGCGAAGCCTCTGCGAGGCTCCTGCGAAGCCTCTGCGAGGCTCCTTCGAAGCCTCCGCGAGGCCCCTGCGAAGCCTCCGCGGGGCTCCTCAGAAGCCGCTGCGAGGCTCCTGCGAAGACTCTGCGCGGCTCCTAAGAAACCTCTGCGAGGCTCCAAAGTGGCCTCTGCGAGGCTCCGAGAAGGTCTCTGCGAGGCTCCTAAGAGGCTTTTGCGGGGCTCCTAGGATGCTTCTGCGAGGCTCCTAAGAGGCTTCTGCGAGGCTCCTAAGAGGCTTCTCGACGCCCCCTAAGAGGCCTCTGCGAAGCTGCTACGAGGCCTCTGCGAGGCTCCTAATAGGCTGCTGCGAGGCCCCTCGGATTCCTTAGGATTCCGTTTTCGTAACCCAGCAGTTCATCGGACTCCGAGGACTTCGTGTGATTCTTCGGTTTCTCTTTCTTACGAGTCTAACGTTGGCTTCCGAGGGATTTGAAGGATTTCTTGGGTTTGGCCTCCGAGGGCTTCGGAGGACGTCTAGGGCCCCCTCCTAGGCATCTGGCGAGTCCCAGGGCCCGCAGGAACTTAGGATTCCTAGGGCTCCTTTTGCGAACCTGGCAATTCCTAGAATGCTTAGGAGTTCTTTGGACTTCTGAAGACTCGCTTCTGGGAATCTAGCAATTCCTGGCACCCCTGGGGAAGTCGAATGGTTCTTGGGGTTTGATTTTGAGAATCTTGCAGTTCTTACGACCCTGAGGAAATCCGAGGAGTCCTCGGATTCGCGTTCACTCTTTGGCATCCTCCTTCGCTTTCGTCCTCTTCGGCGCCTCCTCCCCCGCGGCCATCTCGACGTCGCCGGAAGCGACGTGGAAAACAATGGGTTTCTCGGTTGGCCATTCATGGAAATCATTATTCCATGCAGAAAGTTCCTTCATGGAAGCCTTCGAAGAAAGACGACTGGCAGGCGTGGAGACGCCCTGGCAGACCGAAGAAAAGGCGGGCTGACGACCGATTGCGAGAGACGCGGCTTCGGGCAGGACGTCCACATTTGGTGCTCGAGGTGCGTTGACGGCGGTCTTGCACCTCACTTGAGTGACCTTGTCTTCCCTGCTCATTTCATTGTGCGGCTTATCTTGTTTGCCCCTCTTGCCGCCCCTCCTTCCCTCTGTGTCCAGCGAATGATATGCCACCTGGCGCGTTGCGCGTTCACTCAGATTTCGCGCTGCTTGATTGCTCATTGCGCTGTGAAGCAGAGCGGCGCCGCGTCGCCAACTTGCTGGGCCCCCGCCGACCCTCCCTGGGCAAGTCCGAGTCCGACGTCGAGTCCACCCCGCCTGCTTGTATTGGATTTGTTTTTCGCGCCCCGCGGCCCGAAACAGGCTTCCGGGGGCCGAGGCGGCGTCGATCGGATTGCTCTCAGGCTCTGCGCGGTTCTCTCGAACCCTTTGGGCCCCCCCAAGGTTCGCCAGGCCGCTTTCGCTTTTTAGCGCGCAGGAATCGTATGCGGTTCGCATGGGAATCTCATGCGGGTCGCATGGGAGCAGTGTGCGGTTCGCGTAGGGTTCGTATCCGATCCACATAGGAGTCGTTTACGAATCTTACGCGAAGTGTCAGAATCAGCATCGTAAGTGTCAGTGCCAGTATGGATCCTACATGCATTGGTCGTATAATTGTCAGTAGTATTGTTATTACTACAGGCACCGCTACTATTCCGATTGGTACTACTATTACAACTACGACTACTACTAATACTACTGCTACTATTACTACTATTGTCACGACTACGATTGCGACTGCTGCTTCTGCCGCTACCGCTACTGCTATTACAAGTAGTCGTAGTAGTATACTACTACTACTACTACTACTACTACTACTACTACTACTACTACTACTATTACTACTACTACTACTACTATTACGACTACTACTACTACTACTACTCCTGCTACTACTGCTGCTGCTGCTACTACTACTACTACTGCTACTCCTACTACTATTACTACTACTACTACTGCTGCTGCTGCTGCTACTACTACTACTACTACTATTACTACTACTACTATTACTACTACTACGACTACTACTACTACTA